CTCATTTCATCTCACACTCACATCACCTCATTTCATCTCACACTCACATCACCTCATTTCATCTCACACTCACATCACCTCATTTCATCTCACACGGTCATCACCCAATTTTCACCTCACACTCACATCACATCACTTCATCTCACACTCACATCACCTTATTTCACCTCACATTCACATGACCTCATTTTGCCTCACACTCACATCACCCAATTTTCACCTCACACTCACATCACCTCATTTTCAGCCCACACTCACATCACCTCATTTCATCTCAAACATGGGGATGGCCAAGCAACAGGAAAATGGCTCTGGGTATCTGGCAATGGCAAGTTGACAACAAAATATGAACGTAACAGGGAAAACGGGAACAGGGAGGACCATGCAGAGCAATCGACAAGTCGGCTAGACAAAAGGTAGAGAGATGTAGCTTGAAAGAAAGGAACGGCTGGGGAAAAGGCTATCAAAAGATTGTATGAGAGCTTAAAATGAGAAGCTGGATGAACTAGTGCAATGGCAGCAGGATGACAGGACAAAAGGACAATGGGCGATTGACAGTGAAAACTAAAACTGTAAGGAATGGTATTGGGAGCAGAAAATGGTAATGTGAAGTGGATTGGAAAATGGGAAGGGAGAGAGAGCGATGTGATCATGCAGTTCCCCTTGCAATGGTGCCTCAATATGTGTCCTTCCCAGATTTTCTAAGGAGAGACTTCATTTCATCCCACACTCACATCCATTCGTTCCATGTCAAATTCACATCCACTCGTTCCATGTCAAATTCACATCCACTCGTTCCATGTCAAATTCACATCCACTCGTTCCATGTCAAATTCACATCCACTCGTTCCATGTCAAATTCACATCCACTCGTTCCATGTCAAATTCACATCCACTCATTCCATGCCAAATTCACATCCACTCGTTCCATGTCAAATTCACATCCACTCATTCCATGTCAAATTCACATCCACTCATTCCATGTCACACTCACTCATCCCGCCCCAAGTCATTCCACACGCCATCAAGTTGGATGGATCAGTGACACTGGGGAAAGTTAACAACTGGCAATAGCAAGATGACAGGATAACAGGATAACATGAAAATGAAGAGTTATGTGAAAACTGCCAACGAAAAGCTGGCATGACGAACTAAAAAGAGAAGAGGGATGGCGAAATGGGAAGCCAAAAAGCGGAAATGGCGAGCGGAAGACGAATGGAAGTGGAATTGATTCTGTAAGCATCCCATGGTCCATGGGGTGGGGAATGACAATGGGATGAGAAGACACGTCTGTCAGCCTCAGAATGTCCCTCCCCCCCTCTCCCCCCCTCTCCCCCACTCCCCCCACTCAACCACCCTTCAGCTCAAACCCTCCATCTTCTTTCCCTTGTAACCCCACCCTGATGATATGGGAAGATGGCAGTGGGATGATGATTGTAGGAACTTGGCAGTGGGATGATGACAGTAGGAACATTATCAACAACAGTATCATTTCTGTGATTGTGGTATGACCATTGCTGTTATGGTAGCCCTGATGGTGTAGATTTTGATTGTTGTTCATGTCGTTGCTCCGTGTTTTGACACCATTTGTAATGCACAATTGACCATGGTTTTCTGCTCAAAAACACCATTCTTGGTTTGTTTGATGGTTGTGCATACTCTGACCAGACTGTATCAGTCCCATATGAAGATGAAACATGGTCAGCCACTCTCACCCATTCTCCCATTCCATGCTCTCCATTCACCCCCATCCACACCAGTGCATGAAAAGAATATGCATATATTTGAGATTTCTAGAACAAACATGATTATCAAGTCTAAAATGGCATCCATACCATTCCTTTCTCTCCATCCACCATTCATACCATCTTTCCCACAACATCCTGCCAGGCAGGATGGAAAAAAGGGGGTGAACCCCTACCACCATCGTTCCACATCACCCCCACCAGCTTTACCTTACTTGCCCTTGTGCCACTTATTCAAGGCTACACTTGACCAAGCTCTACTCATCCACCTCCTCATCCGCCTCGTTCCTCTAGCCTTCTCATTTGATGTTTTATAGGCTTTTGTCCCGTCCACTTTAACCTGTACTGCCTCTTCCTTATCAGAGCTTGACACTTGCCTTGACTTCATGTCAGAGTTCTTAACAGCAGCAGCAGCAGTAGCAGCGTCAACAGGGACAACAGCAGCTGAAGCTTTTCTCAGGTTGGAGAGCCCATCCTTTTTTTCTGAGGCCTGATGTTTGCTGAAGCTTTTTTTCTCTGAATCTTTTGTGCTGCCCTTTGCAGCAGGAGTCTGCACAGACGCGCAGCTCGTGCTGTTTGCACTGCTGGAGCTGAAGGTGCAGACCATCACGCTCCTGCTGCTCTTGTTAACATCATTCTTACAGGCACCAGCTTTTTCAACCATAATCCAAGGCGATTTCTTGCCTGTGAAGGCGAGAAACTCGTCCTTAGAGAGGAAGGACACGTTTCCTTCATTGCTGCAGATACTTTCAGGGTTAAGATACCGTTGGCGGAACTCCAGCAGATCCAATTCGCTCATGTACGAGAATTCGTCTTCCGAATCCTCAGAAATTCGTGCCTTTTTGGCACTTGGAGCAGCAGCAGCAGCAGCAGCAGCAGGCGTGGATCGCTTGCGTGCTGCATCGCTCCAGCTGGGAGAGGCGGAAGAGGAGGCAGCAGGGACGGACCCGTGGTCCTCTTCCCAGTAGAAGAGGTCGTCGGGGTCAGCCTTGCTGCACGCAGCGAGGGTTTTCACGGCCATCAGCAGTCAGAAAGCTTCGAGGCTTAAGGAAAGGGGGTAGGAATAAGCTGTGTGAGTACAGAACGATGTGATTCAACTGAATTGGTGATTCTGTCAGACGGGGTTTTGTATTTGTGACTACGAGAGCGGTGTCGGTTCTGACAGGATGCTTCAGACATTGACGAGCCGCTCTAGTTGACGGTGATAGCCAGAAAGAGGGAGTTCCGCTGGCAACGGAAGTTTCAGGTATGGTGCCGAGGCTAAGGTATCGTTTTGCCACGGAAAACGTCGATCTGGCAGATCCAATGGCATTCGCAGCAACCGCGGTAGTTACCGAAATTCCCGTCCCCGTGGAGCTGACGGCGGTAACCAGAGGAGGGAGTTCCGCTGGCTACGGAAGTCGCAGGTATGGTGCCGAAGCTTTGTTGTTGTTCGTTTGCCACTGAAAATGTCAATCTTGCAGATCCAATGGCGTCCGAAGCAACCACGGTACATCCCAGATTTCTCGCGATGCTCTACAGTGGATGACGTGGCTACGGATATCGTGAGAACCAGCCACGGTGGTACAGTCGGGCCCACCAAGTTCCTAACTAGCCCAATCATGCGGGTAAGACAGTCACACCTTGGCTTTGTTGGTCCACGTCATCGTGGATGCGAATCTGTCTCCAGGGTAGCGCACGCCAGAAAGGAATGACAAGGCGTTTTGGATCCCATGGGCTGCAGCGAAAACATACTGAGCCGACCTGCGATTTCTAATCCCGTCGTAATACTTCGTCTGGCTGCGGCTTAGCGGACAACAGGAGCGTGGAGATTGGATAGTGGCCTCAGCGTCAGGGACTTGAGATTGGTCGTGATCTCTTTTTATGGTGGCCTAGGTATTGGTGATGCAGCGGCTCGGCAAGGTCGAGGGTATGGCAGAAAAGTTGAAGGCGGGAAGATTTTGAATCTCGTTAGTAACGTGATCGGTTACAGAATGGTTGAGTTTTTGTCCAAACAGCGAATTCACCTTCTCCACATCCATTTATAATACCATGGCCATCTAGTCTCCTAAACACTTTTACATGCAATTTTAACCTTTGTTTGAGACTCTTGAAGAATTGCGGGTAAAGATTTGAAGTGCTTCCAGTTAAACGCAGCTCAAATACCAATTAAGGCTTACGAACAAGTCGTTGCACACACCAAGTTGAAAGGTAAAAAGATCATGGGTCCAAACAAACGAATTATTCCAGGCCAGTTCTTGTCGGCCATGTGCAATGTAATTTGATCAGTCATCAGCATAGCGCACGCACGCATCTTCTGTCACCGCCCAGCAACCCAGAAAGTTCCCCGTCCTGCCAACCATGCCGTCAGTTCCGCAAAGGCCACGCACACATTGAAACGGTGCAGTAGAGGCACATTACACATGCTGCTGCTGCCTACACAACCAGCCCTGTGGCACAAGGAAGTGGGGTAGGCCCGTAGGGGCCTGGGGCAGCCTGGGAGGACAAGCAAGAGGCACGGGTCACATGCGGTGGAGAGGGGCATGGGGATGGGGCAATGAGAAAGGATGTTTGGGAAAACTGGGGTGGATGGGAGAGGCAGAAGAGTGGTAATTCATGAGGGGAGAGGGGATAGGGGCCACATGAGGGGATTGGTGAGGACAGGCATGGGTGGGGAGAGAACTCTGGAAAGGCACGAACAGAAGGACCAGGACTTGAAGTCTGTAGAAGCCAAGCCTTGATTCAGCTGCTGGTGACTCTCACGAGCTGACTCCCCCACCCTCCACTCCCTTCCCCAAAGAGACAGAGTGTGAAGCTGGAGCCTGGAGTGCATTGCCTTGCAGTGTGACGCACACGGGCAGGCAGCCAGTCAGAGCCAGTCAGAGTCCTGTGCTCTAGTGCTGCAGGAGAGTGGCGACACTGTGGTGATCCTGCTGCTGATGCGAGGGCAGAGGGCAGAGCGAAGGGTTCATGGGGGGGGGAAGAGAGAGGAGAGAAGGGAGAGCGGGGAGAGAAGGATCATGAGCGAACAAGTGAGGCGAGCTGATGGTAAGCCAGTGGAACTTGCCTTTATGAGAGAGTGGCCATGCCACTGAGATTGTCATGTGATTATGACGATGCCATGCCTGCGACTGAGACTGGCATGTGACTATGACGATGCCACGCCTGCGATTGAGACTGGCATGTGACTAGGACGATGCCATGCCTGCGACTGAGACTGGCATGTGACTATGACGATGCCACGCCTGCGACCGAGACTGGCATGTGACTATGACGATGCCACGCCTGCGACTGAGACTGGCATGTGACTATGACGATGCCACGCCTGTGACTGAGACTGGCATGTGACTATGACGATGCCACGCCTGCGACTGAGACTGGCATGTGACTATGACGATGCCACGCCTGCGACTGAGACTGGCATGTGACTATGACGATAAGTACGAACATGGCTGGGCTCCGACTTCAAATGAAAGGTTCAACTACGTCAATGGCACTGGGAAGTGAAAATGGAAGTTGAGTGGAAAGGCAGCCCACACGAGAAGATGGTAGCAAACTTGAAGATCACGGGGAAGGCAATTCGCTTGATTTGAAAATAGAAAAACGTTGAACCTCCACTTGACTTCCTCAGATCAGAAGCGATGAAAACTTGTTTATTTTATGCGCGAAGCAAGGTGCTGTTTGTCTTTCGCATAGTGAAGACAGGCTTACGTGATTCGTTTTAAAGCAAGTGAAAGAACTTCGACGCATAAGCGCATAAGAACTAACGAACCGAAAATGAATTGCAAAAACTGATACGGAGGGCTACCATGCTAGAGTGGATTTGAGTGTTCAAAGGGCATCACGAGAAGACTCGACATGAAATGCAACGTGGAAAGGAACAGACTCGTGAAATTGCGAGCATGAGTGGGAAAGTGAGGAAAGTAGATGACAAAGAGGAATGGCAGTGAGAAAAGGGCTGGGAAAGTGGGAAGTAGCGTGGAATGGCAGCCCACCACCCCTCCATCCTGCACCACACCACCCCTTCCACCACCCCTCTTCTTTATTCGCCACAGCCCCTCGTCATCGCCATTGCCCATTCCCCCTTCCCTCCCCCTTCCCTCCCCCTTCCCTCCCCCTTCCCTCCCCCTTCCCTCCCCCTTCCTTCCCCCCATCCCTCCCCCTTCCCTCCTCCCTTCCCTCCCCCTTCCCTCCCCCCTCCCTCCCCCCTTCCCTCCCCCTTCCCTCCCCCCTTCCCTCCCTCCTTCCCTCCCCGTTCCCTCCCCCCTTCCCTCCCCCTTCCCTCCCCCTTCCCTCCCCCTTCCCTCCCCCTTCCCTCCCCCCTTCCCTCCCCCTTCCCTCCCCCTTCCCTCCCCCTTCCCTCCCTCCTTCCCTCCCCGTTCCCTCCCCCCTTCCCTCCCCCTTCCCTCCCCCTTCCCTCCCCCCTTCCCTCCCCCTTCCCTCCCCCCTTCCCTCCCCCTTCCCTCCCCCCTCCCTCCCCACTTCCCTCCACCTTCCCTCCTCCCTTCCCTCCCCCTTCCCTCCCCGTTCCCTCCCCCCTTCCCTCCCCCCTTCCCTCCCCCTTCCCTCCTCCCTTCCCCCTTCCCTCCCTCCTTCCCTCCCCGTTCCCTCCCCCCTTCCCTCCCCCTTCCCTCCCCCTTCCCTCCCCCTTCCCTCCCCCTTCTCTCCCCCTTCCCTCCCCGTTCCCTCCCCCCTTCCCTCCCCCTTCCCTCCCCCTTCCCTCCCCCTTCCCTCCCCCTTCCCTCCCCCCTTCCCTCCCCCCTTCCCTCCCTCCTTTCCTCCCCCCCTCCCTCCCCGTTTCCTCCCCCCTTCCGTCCCCCTTCCCTCCCCCTCCCTCCCCCCTTCCCTCCCCCTTCCCTCCCTCCTTCCCTCCCCCTTCCCTCCCCCTTCCCTCCCCCTTCCCTCCCCCTTTACCTCCCCTCTTCCCTCCCCCCTTGCCCTCCCCATTACCTCGGGAGCGCCACGTGTCTATTGAGGCTGCTTGTAACGGGGGGGCCTCCGCGCCGCACAGCCATCGCAAATCCGCGATTCATCCCCTCCTACGCACGTTCCCGCCCGCCTCTCCGCGCTTCCCCCGCAACCACCTTCTGCCTCCACTTGCCATGTCCGCCGCGCTCGCGCGAACCCGTGTTGATGGCAACGTCAAGCTGAGGCGCACAGGAGGAGCGGCGCGCGCAACGGGCGGAAAGCAGCCGCGCGCCACGCGGGGGGCGCAGGGGGGTGCGGAGGAGCCGAGAGCGGTGGGAGGTGCGAGCGATGAGGATGGAAAGGGGTTGCGCATGAGATGCGCGCATGAGGGGCTCAACGCGCCGAAACGTCTCGCGAAAGCGACGTGACATCCATCACGCTAACACCCTCCCGGCAAAGCCTCTCACCCACCTTTCCCCTATAGGCGCGCGCTAGACATGCTTCTCCGCGTGCGGGCGTAACTTCCGCCACACTTCTGCGCTCTCCGCGTTGCCCTCATCACCGTTTCCGCTCCGCTGGTCCTCCTCCCAGCGCCCCGCCGAGCCGTCGAAGCGCTGAGCCGCGGAGGTCTGGCGAAGTGCGTGGTCGGCGTGCGGTTCGCTGGCAGCTGGTTAAGTTGAAATGATAGACTATGCGGTGCCCGCGGCGCTAGGGACCGGGCGCGGATCGTTACGAGCGAATGACAGAAACAAGTGCAGCTAAATTACTTGGGTGTGCTCGGCTGATATGATGTGTGCTCGAGATTTGGTACGGTGCAATGTGGTTACAGACAGTGATAAGGATGATTTCATAGTATTGTGATTTCAAACATTTCTGTAAAGAAATGGAAATTATGCATGCATACCAAACCATCAAATCCCTGCTCATAAACATCTCACTCTTCAATCATCACAGGTACATTACAAGTGCAACTTACCGTAAAAGGTTTCAACTCAAAGAAATGAAGACTTGTGCCAACGCGCTTTACAGAAGTTGACCATCTAGTTCCTTGAACTTCTGCCCAGCAGTAGGTAGGTCTATGCCTAGAATGAGAAGGCGTGCATTCAGGATTCCACATTACCATTGATCAGATTCACACGTAAGTTGTGATATGAAGATTGCGTGAAAGTGGGTGTGGACGCGCGATGCCGAGTGGCTGGGGCAATTCAGTCATGGAGAGGCACGATGTAACTGCAATGAGGCCTAATGTTGACTTGACGCACATTGGAGTGGCGCTGGTGAGGCCATGTGTTGCATGGAAGGCATGACAGGGAGGTAGTGAGATAATGACAACAATAGCATGGCAATGGGAAGAAAACAAATAATGAGGGGGCTGCAGAGAAAAGACCATGGGAACCTGACACTGGGAAGACTAGACGAAAGCAGACAAGGTCAAGTTGACAGAGGGAAGAACTGGCATGCTGCAATGAGAAGAAGAGAGAGAATGGCAGAGGAGGGCACGGTGAGGGCAGCGAGGGAGGGGCACGCAGAGAGGATGGGCGAGGTGGATGGGCGAGGTGGGTGGGCGAGGTGGGTGGGCGAGGTGGGTGGGCGAGGTGGGTGGGCGAGGTGGGTGGGCGAGGTGGGTGGGCGAGGTGGGTGGGCGAGGTGGGTGGGCGAGGTGGGTGGGCGAGGTGGGTGGGCGAGGTGGGTGGGCGAGGTGGGTGGGCCATGGCAGGCGGCAGGAGAGAGAAGGCATGGGACTGGGCCCTCTGTGGTGATATGTGTGCATGGCATGGCAGGCATGCACTGGCTGGAGTGGCTGGGGGCGGAGAGATGGGTGGTGGGAGGATGGACAGGCGCATGGCGGAGTCTGCTTGGCCCGTGTACCTGGAGGAGGCAGCGCAGCGAGGAGGCAGTGGCAGACAGGAAATTGACTGACAAATGGCAATGGGAAGGTGATCGGAAATTAACAGAAAATGACAATGGATAGATGACTGGACGATACGGAAATGGCGTTTTGGGAAAGCGGCGGAGGGAAGCTGGCAGGAAAAAAAAATATGGGGAGGTGACTGGGAGAATGGCTACATAAAAAGGCTCAATGGATGCCAATGGAAGGACAAACGAATGAAAAAGCGCAATGAGTAAATGCCTGACAGATAAAAATAGATTGCAAACTGGCGATGGGAGGCTGGCAGGACGAATGGGAATGAGAAGTGGACTGGACAATGGCCTATGCGAAGGCGCAAAGACTGATAGAGAAGGTGAGAACTGACAATAGCATGCGTTGCGAACAACGATGGCTCAAGCAGCTGCGAACCTGAGAGGAAAACTGACAACAGGATGCTAGAAACAAGAGAAATTGCAACAAGACACTAGGCTGGAAACATGGGAATTCAAACTTGATAACAAAAGGTTCTTACTTGAAATTAACCTGTTAGTATGATACCGGATATGAGAATCTTTGTGAGAATGGGAAGTGGGAATAAAGAGCGCAATCAACAGGTGGGAAAATGCCTATGGGGGAACGACAATGGAAAGACAGTAAGAAAGGAAGATGTGCACACAATGCAGACACAGGAAAAGAAAGCAGGTGTATCATGCACACATGAGCAAAGCGAGATATGAGAAATCCATGGGCACTAGGAAATGGCATGTGGTGCAGTGAGATGGAGTGCGTGGGTGAGGCAGATGGAGGAGGGGTGTGGGGAGGAAGGGGTAGGACTCAGGGTTTGGGGTTTCAGGTGGGTTTAGGGTACGCAGCCAGGCCAACATGCCCAAGCGGGAGGGGTGTGAGAGGTCTTCAGCATTGGTGCCGCTAAAGAAAGCGACTGGAAAGATAGGCAGGTAAACAGAGGTGTGCAAGGGTTTGATTTGCATTGGTAATTTGCAATCGCGTGTCTTGCTTGGGCTGAGAGGACTAACTCCTCTGGTTGGTTCAATAGGTCATCAGTGTTTCTCCCATGGATTGACATGAGAGGACACAGCCGATTGGGGTGAGGGGCCAGATGGGCAGGTGAAGAGGCAACGAATGGGGAGCGGGTGAGTGGGGCAGCTGCAGAGACAACAAAGTTCGTAGATGAAAAGGGCGAGAAAGAGCAGCACTGTACATTCCACGAGCATGTTTCTGAGCGACAATAAACAACCAAAGTAAAGACAGTGTTTGCTTGTTCGTTCCAGTCTCCGGAATCTCACCTTTAGCCATTGCAGCCTTTCCTCTCCTCCTGCTCTATTCCCATTCTTATGCTGCTCCTGCTGTGACTCATCCGCATCCTTGGTAAAAACTGCTGTGCTACAATCTAAATTGACATTTTAGGTCCCGACATGCATCACCTCAAAGCTTTCCCATCTAGCTTGCACCAACCAGAATGGTTCAGAGTGGCTAGGCATAGCAGCTGTTTTGGGGCGTACTGTACTAGGCTGGACAGGTGGATTGTCTCTCACATTCTACACTTCACTGTTCTCACACACCCACCTTTCTCAAAATGACAGTGCCCTCACCATAGACAGTCCGATCTGTTGCCCACCCAAAAAGGAGACAAACCAGGGAAGGCAGAGAAAGAGGGACGGTTCAGTGAGTAGAGATTTTTGGCACTGAAAAACAGACGCCGATAAAGAACTGGATGCTTTATTGCGATGACTATACTGCAGTAGTTGTTTTGGTCAGGGGTGGTGCACGTTATGCCGTCTTATTTACTGTGTTTGGCAACAAGCCTGAGGGAATAGCAGCTGTAATCCCAAGTATGGGATCAGCTTGACATGTATTGCCACGAATGGGGCTCTCTCAAAAATACTACCCTCCTAAAATCATACACCAAGAAACATTTGTTACACAAATCATTTATGGTATGAGTACACACTCCACTGGTTTTGAGAGTATTTCACAATGGATAACCAATAAGAATCATGTCACTTGACCAGATGCACTCTGATCGCCATGGACACTATGTTGCTGTCTGCCTCCTGAATGCCACAGCGCAGTGCACGGGACATATCGGCAATTGCTTGCTTGCACCCTGTGATAGTCAACCGCTGCGGCAGCTTCAGCTTGGACAGTTGATCTGGCAAGGCCTCCAATAGCTCACAGCGAGAGAGGCTGAGAGTCCTCACCTCAGCCTTGTCAGCTGTGCAAACCCGGGAGGAAGCTGATGGAAGTCCGCCCGGCTTTAAGCACAGAGAGGCAGCGAAGCTGCGCAAGCAACGATGGTAGATGCTGCAGGGCTATACACAATGACAGATCCAGCATGCGTAACCTTGTTAATGCACCAATGCTGTTGGGAATTGAGGCCAGCTCGGGTGCATGAACTTGTGATGATGTCGGCTGTTGCAGCTGTGAAACTGTTTCTGGTAAACTCTTGACGTCTTCGAGGAAATAGAGGTGCGGTTCTTGCAGCTGATTTGCCCCCTTGAATCTTCGTGGCAAGTCCTGAATCCTCGCTGCACGCTGAATACTCAAGAAGAGGAGCTGAGGAAGTGAATCCAAGCTGATTGGAAACTGCACAAAAATTTTCCGCCAAATCCACGTCCAAGTGCCGTAGACGAGACGGCAGGGAAATCTCGGGCAGGAAGAAAGTCAAACTGCTCTCCTTCCAAATCAGGACCTCAAGGGAGAGCGGCAGCGACAGAGGAAACCCACGCAACCGTCTGCAGTCAGTTACCTCCAACCGCTGTAGCTTCCTAAGGGAACTTAGCCTTTTCGGCAGCGAGAAGAGACCTTCACAAAACGCGATGACCAAGGTTACAAGGCTAGTGAGCGCAGTGACAGACTCCGGTATCTCTCTGACAGCATGGCACTCGTACAGGTAGAGATGCTGCAGGTTGCACATATTACCCAGACCCTCAGGAAGCGTTGAAACTGCGCATTGGCGGAGCTCAAGACTGGTAAGGGAAAACAGCTGCGTGAACGAAGAGGGGAGTTGCTCCTGCCTGCACCCATCCACGCGGAGAGTCTCAAGATTGCTCAGCCATCCGAGTCTTAAGCACCTTCAGTCGTAAAGTCCTGAGGGTCAGCGACTTGAGAGATGTGAGGTTGCAGAAAGCTGCTGGCAGCTGCTGGAACCCAAGGCCGCGGAAATCTAGGTCCAGTTTCTCCAGAGACTTTACTTGGCAGAGCGAGTCTAGCTCTGAGAAAGAGATACCTTCAAGCATCAGTGACTTGAGAGCAGGCAGCTGCCCAAAGTCACTGGGCAGGCTGTGAAGATCGAAGCAGCCAGAAATGTACAAGCACTCCAATGCAGTCAGAGCTGTAATCTGTTCGGGGAGTCGGTTGAGCTGAGAGCAATCCCGAATGGTCAGCTGACGGAGGCGTGGAAACAACATTCCGATGTCATCAGGGAGTTGCTGGAGGTTGGGGGAATTGGTGATCAGCAGCTGTTCTAGACGGATGCACGGTAATCCTGTAGGGAACATCGAAGTGAAATCAGGGCTTGTGTAGTGGAACTCGAGTGTC